CTAAGCCACCTGGGCTTATAAAGCTAGGTAGGTTACCCAAAGAATGTTTCACTTCTAAGGAACTGTTTCCTTTTTCTTCAAGAAGCTGCAGACTTTCTTAAAGACCATCATTCTGCATGACAGTGCAGAAGCGTTAACCTAGGTGCAGGATACTTTTATGACGACCATGAACATCATGTCTATGTATTTTTTTAACCCCTCTCTCAGGTTCACCAGGTCAGTTGCCTTGTAGTGCTTCCGGAGGAGGCGTTATTCTAGAACCTCTCTGCCACATGCACAGAATTTCACAGGGCATCCAGGCAACACCTTCCATTCATAACCTCCTATGTTTCCCCACCACTTCTTCCGTTTTTGCTACCACCGAAAGCCTCCTGAGGGAAGAGGAAATACCTGCACAACACATTCGAACCAATAGAGCAAATTACTGTCCAGAAGCACCTTAGACTCAAGGAGCAACATGTTCCCTCACAACCAGCTCATTGTACTGAATACACCCATATTCTGCCCTGTGCTCATACCTGTGGCACTTGGTGCAATACACTGCACAGCCCCCACACTCTTCGGGGCTTTTTGTCTACAGGACTTCCTGAAACCTTTTCTTTGAATACTCTCTGAATACTCTTTTTTCTTCTAAGCTTGTGCATTCGCCCACAGCTATTCCCGAGAACATCTCTCCCAAGCCCTCCAAAAAGCCCCTTTCAATCGAATAACACTGCCACTCCCCCTTTATTTATTCATTATATTTCTATCCCACCTTTCTCGCACTGTGGAACTCAAGGTGATTCCCAGGTGATCTCCCCTCCAAACTCAGGCCAGCCCCAGACCTGCTTAGGTACAACATGGGAGGAGAACCATGCATGCTACCTTGAATTTCTTGGAGGAAAAATGTAATGTAAATGTAATTAAATAAATCAATATATTGTAATAAATATATAAATGTCAATATATACACTGTGTCCAGTGAGGTATCTTAGGCTGAGAGATAATGAAGCAGTTTGCATGTCTCAGCAGGACATTGTGGCTTAATTAACCCACGTTTTCTAGGGACACACGCAGCACGTTCACCATGGCTGATCTTAATAAACAGCCCAGAAACACTCCATTTGTAGGTTATTAGTGTGGCATCTGAACCAGAAGAGTTATGGGGCAAACAAAAACCGATGGATTAACTCTGAATTGTTTAACCCATGCCCAAGCCTTGGTTGTTTAATCAATGAACAATCCACAGTTTCCCAGTTCATAAATCACATTAAAAACCTTGAAATGGGGCAGTGGTGGGTTGTTTATTCAAATTGGAAAAGCTGTCATGCCATTCAAACATTCTGCACATCCCAATAAATCATGAATTAACCCTGGCCCAACATCACTCAGTGACCTTTATGACCAACTGGTATTCAACAGTATCACCAAATTAGCACCATGGGGGGGGGTAACTTTTACTGCACATGAAAGCACATGCCCAGTTACAAAATTGCATGCACAAGCTCTTAAAGGCTGAGCAAAACATTAAAAGTGCATAGAGTTTCCTCTCCCAAAGAAAGTTTTCACATTCCTTTCCACGGCCTAGCCCTTACTAACTGCCAAAATAAAACAAAAACAAAAAGTGTAAGAAAATAAATCCACACCTTTGCCCACACCACACCTTATCTTGAGTGGGAATGACCCAAATGAAAGAGTGATTTAAAGTTTAGGCTACAGTCCAGGATGTACAAGTACAAATATTTCCTGCTTCATGCAAGACTGAAAGACACTAGGGTGTGGAAAACTAGTTTAACAGTTAACAGTGAGCAATCAGGAAGTCCTCAATTGAAATCACAGCTCTTTTCTGAATTCATTCAAGTTGACTCTTTGTTGTTCTTAGCTGCAACCCTACAGCTGCAAAATGGAGATAATTCTAACCTATTGCCCAGGTTGTTGAAAAGATTACTAAAATAATGTGCATGAATAATGCACACATGAATGTAAAGCATTATGGCCACCATCCTTCATGCTCCCTACCTATAGCAGTTGGAGGGGCTGGAAAACTTTGCAGAAAATACAGAAAATTAATTTCCATATGAACTTTCCTTCCATATGCATTTTCCTCCTCCTCAGTTCTCCAGGTGGCATCCCAGGAGACACAGCAGGGAGGAAGGGCACTCTTCACTTTGACAGCCATGGTCGAGAGAGGAGTTCTGCTTTCTGCAGCTGTTAAGCAGTCTCTGCCGCAGGAACAGTGCTGATGCCCTAAAGCACAGCAGAGAGGACAAGCAACTGGCCAGATATCCTTCCCTCCAGTTTCAAAGGGGACTGCTTGAGCAAGAGAGGTTGTCTGATCCATGCTCGTGCAAAAGGGAGAGGAATCAGCTGCACAATGCCATGGAAAAGAGCTGCTGCCCCTTCACAAGCACTAGAGCAAGGACCCTCCTGCATCTGAGCAGTGGGGTGAGACGTTGCGGGGCAGGAGCAGCAACGGTGTCTGGCTGAGGGCTATGCACTGCAGTGCATCCCCACAGGGCCACTGCCCTGTTTGCATGGGCAGCAGGGTGAGAAGCAGCTGAGCAGGGGTGAAATGGGCAAGGGACTGGGGACACCCTCTGACAACCCAAAGCAAGAAGGTCGGCAGCACAGAAGGATGAGCTGGGACATGCAGCCCTACCCAGCTGCTTTCTGCCCTGCTGCTCCCATGGGAGGGCCAGCAGCACAGGGGATGCACTGCAGCATGCCACCTCCAGCCAGGATCTGCTGCTCCTCATCCATCGGCTGCATACCGAGGGACAGAGGAGGGCACGTCTGAGCATCGCTGCTGCCTAGCGGATTCTCACCCCTGCTGTCAGCTTGCAAGGAATGGCATGAGAACTGTTGCTCCAGTTCATCCAAAAGCCTGCTTTAAGGTGCCTACATTGATATACAAAGCCCTAAAAGTTTAGGGTTTATCTGAAGGAATGTCTCCTCCCATACATTTTTAATCTTGTAAACCATTCTGAGAGCCAAATTGGCTATGGAGAACAGTGTATAAAAGCTTGTAAAAATGAATCAATAAAGCACTACACCAGTACCTTGCAGTCACTTCCTACAAAAAACAGTGGAAAGAATTTTGTTTGCTATAACAAAATCCAGCTTATCCAGCAAAATCCCTGAAGGCAGTGCAATGTTAGTAAAAGGAAGGAAGCAGCTAAAGCAAACTGATGTAAAGGAATTCAAAACTGCACTGAGATCTGGATACAACTGTTGTTTTCAGCAGGCAATCAGCTGCTAATCTAAAAGGGCGCTGAAATGACGTAGGAAGGAAAGATGTTGTACAATCACGTGCTCATCTGAAATCACCAAGACTGTGGCTTGTGACTGGGCTCCTGAGACTGAATAAATCAGCAGTCACATTGCATAGTTGCTAAGAACTGATATGGCCATTACCTATAAGGATGCCCATAGTGGTAATGGAGGTACTTTGCAGGAGCCAATGAGACTCAGAAATCACGTCACAGAAAGAGATTTCAGGGGATCTTTCCCCCAAACACCCTCCTGAAAAGGCATCCCCAGTGCCTTTCCATAGGAGGTCATGTTATGTGCATGTGTGGTTGCTGCACGTGAAGTATAGCATGTCTAGTTACAACAAAACGGAGATGGAAGTCTTGTGGCTCTCTGCTGCAGAAAGACTCTTACAATATCAGACCCTTCTGTACCGATTTCAGTGAGATTATAGCTTAAATGTGAATTGATGCCTTTTCGATGAAAATAACAACATTATTAAGCAGTTTGTAAGCACTATTGTATTTTTTTCTGGTTGTTCTCGTCTAATATATCTTGAAATTCTATTTTAATTTTGGTTTTTTATTTTTTCCTCCCCCACCATATCCTGGAGGAAATGGTACCCTGATAAAGATCTTGTAGATTGGAACATTATGGAATTTGCTCTCTCGGTATTTTAATACCCTTGCATTCTATCCTGTTTCCAAAGGGATCAATAAACCCTTTCCAAATGTGACACAAAATGCTGGGCTTTTTATTACCATTCATTTATGTAAGAATAGATTTATTATCTGATTAAACTGAATGGGGCTTTGAAGCCCCTATGACATACAACCAGAGGCTGCACACAATAAAGCCTTGCAGAAGATGCCCTGATGCCAGTTTTGTATTTAATCGTTTAATCCCAGGAAAGACAATGTCTAATACGCTGTGCCAGCTTTCAGGCAAATTGAAAAGCAGAGACAGACTAACAGAGTTGCACCCACAGTTCTTCCATTTTACTACAGAATATTCTCTGCAGCTCCAAACAGGCTTTTAGGATAGAAATGTTAATCAGTTGCAGCACATGCTACTCAGTATCTTATCCCAAAATGGTGAAATCTCTCAAGACATTAGACCAAATGGGAAAGAATTCCACAGTGTTAGAAATCTCTGAAGACATCAGACCAAATGGGAAAGAATTCCACAGTGTTAGATGGAGGGAAAATACTTCTTACTTTCTGATCCCCATTAAACAAGCCTCAGAATAAACATCTTTAGAAATACAAACATACCTAATGCTTATCTCACTTTCATAAAGGTACTTTCCCCTGCTAGGTTTCTTGTGTCATAATCATGTCTCTTCAAAAGAAAGCTACCCTCCGGTTCTGCCCTTTGGAATCTTCAGTGTTGGACTGTCTGAGAGTGCTTCTAGATTAGACGTTCATTATGCCATTGCCCTGCATCAGTCACAGAATGTCACAACACTGTTTCCCACTCATCAGTCTTCCCTGTCTCCCTGTTTTTTTCTAACAAGTTTCCTCCTACTGCAAAAAATCAATTAAGGAGAAAAATATGGAATAGCTGCATGACACCTTCTGATCAGTAGCACTAAGAGCCCTCTGTCTGAAAGCACCCTTAGCCAAGGAAGAGATCCAGCTACTAGAACAGGCAGCACTATTTTCTAGACATTTCATCTAGGTTTGCCAGCTCTAGAACCTGTAAAATAATTCCACACCTGGGCTGTATTCAACATGCTAAACAAAAAAGTCCACAAACACCTCAAGACTTACAGACATGTTTAGAGTGAGCCTTTTTAAAACGTGTCTCAAACCAAATAGTCATCCCATCTTCCTGAAGCCGGTACAGCCTTTGTTTCCGTGGCTGGTGGGCCTTGACTTTCCAGAAAAGGGATCCCTTCAGTAGCACCTTGATGTCTTCATCATTTGCCAGGCCTGCAAGTTAAAAAAAGAAACCCTCAGGTGGCAGGTATAAAACTGACAAGGTACTCAGTGCAGACTTTCAGTTAAAAGAAGACAATTCTATTCACCAGTGCTTGCTGCAAGCCAGAACTCAATCTTGGAACCCTGTTTTGAATAGTATGAATCCAATTCAGCAATAAATTTTGGGAAAGCTTAGGGCGAAATAATTAACCATTTGCCTACAAATGTCTGTCAGAACCAACAGGGACAAAAGTACAGATCTGTCCAAGGTAGGTACGTCCTCAAGTTGTAAAGCTGTGGGGTGGTTTGTTAACTGCCCCAGGAAGTCACCATTGCCTGGCTCGGACAATACAAGAAACCATGATGTGGGGACTTGACTTTGCAGCCTGGAGCTCATGGATATTACAACTCATCATAGTTTAAATAAGCCATAGTGGGCTGTGGCAATCATACAAACTAGGTCCAGTCCTCAGTTGAGCTCTGCCAAATGAGCTATGCTCCCCACCGAGAGGCACTTCTATGCTTAATCTTCAAAGACAAGGATTAAACAATGCTGGTTATATTGGGGTCTGACTTTAGTTGCTGTCCTGCCCTTCCAGATTCAATTCAGTTCAATGCTGTTCAAGTCACTCTTCACAGAGTTTCCATGTCTGAGCAGCAGAAAAGGAGAAGAAAATCTTGGACTATATTTTTATGTAGTGGATGTGGTGTTCTGACAATCCTGATCAATCATCTGCCCAGATGAATTATTTTCTGTGCTTCTTGATCAAAACACAGTAGCAATTCTGCTTTTGCAGTAGCAACTTGTCTGAGAAAAAGGGCATTTTGTGCATGTTTGAAAACATTGAGATGCACACAAAATTTGTTAAAAAAGCACAATGTTGCAAACTCAATGTACAATTGAAACTAAAAATAAAACTGAGCCTTTGGAAAATTTTGGGTATCCAAAATCAGTGTAAGAATAGTCAAAACAGTGTATTTTGAGATTTATCAAGAAAGAAAAATAACATTATTTTAATGTGTAACAAGAGTGACAGAAGTTCTCCATAGTTTGAAAGCATTTTATGATACTATGTGTCAGATAGCATAAAATACACGCATACACAGAGAGAAAGAGAGTGGGGAAGAGAGAAAGAGAGAGAACTCAAGACCTAAACCCTTCTGGGGGACAGCAATATAGAAAAGGGATTTCTAGAAGTGTCAGTGGGACCAGCAACTTCATATGATAGTGTGGAGTGCATATGTTCAGGATTCCAGCCAACCAGCTGGGCCCACTTCCAGGATATTCCATTTCCCCTTCTCCCCATCCATTATCCACATATTTCCTCACCAAAAGACACTCTGCATCCTATCCCATTATTTTTATTGGTCTGCTTTGGAGTTCCCCTCCTATGAGGCTGTTTTTTTCCGTAAAAAATGTGGAATTCTGCAAACCTTTGGATTCCCCCAGGCCTGCTGAATATCTTTCTCTTCTATGGGGTCAACACTGTTTTGGCTGCGGGAGTGGAACTTGAAGAATTTATTTGTGAATGTAAGCTGCCTTGTGCTCTCCTTTACCAGAAAGGTGGAATACTAGCTGAAGAAAATAATAATATTTAGTATTTTGATATAATGACACATACCTCAACATAAGTAGCTCCCTCAGTGTTGTGTTCCTTCAGAAATTATGGCTATATTTATGCTGTTGTTTCTCTCTATGACTTCAGCCTTTTTTCAACACTGCAGCTTGATTTTCTGGGCAGAGATTCGTGACAGCATTATGCAACCACCTCCCTTAAGAAAAAAACAGTTGCTCAGAGGTTGTCCCACTCCAGGTGGACAACAGAAGCTGAAGCACAATATAATTCAATACCTCTAGCTGTCTTCATTCTAGGGAATAGCTGGAGTTGCTTTATTCAACTTGCTGGGAAGATTGCTGAAGTGTTAACGATCTTAAAACAGTACAGTGCATCTTACTTAAGATGTGCATAATGTTGAATAACTAACAGAACAATTCAGTGTGGCTATTTGTAATCCTCTGAACATGGAGGACCGTGAGCATCCAACTGAGGACAGAAGCAGCATGAAGGAGAAGCTCAACTCCATATTTCCCTACCCTGCAAAAGACTTAGATGTCTGCTTTCAACTAAGTCCTTTGTGCCTGCTCATGAAGAGGAAAGAATGAGGTGCCCACAGGATACCTCACTCCCCCTCTCCCCAGCCCCAGAAAACCCACCCAATCTTGGTTCTGATGTCACATGGCTGGCTTGGTCTCCAAATTACACTAAGAATGGCACTCTAGGGATTTAAAAATGTAAAGAAGCAAAAAACAGTTACTGAATTAAAGCAAACACATAAGCAGATTCACAACTAATTCTGGGCAGCCAGCACAAAAATATTTAACAAGATGACGAGGATGTAAAAAGGAAAATTCTGAGTTAAAACCACTTAGGCCATTATTTTAAATTAATTAAATTAATTAAAATTAATAAGACAAGTATTTTCCCAATGTGAGATTTATAACTCCTTGAAACAGGATCCGAGTAGGTACAAGCAGTTTATTCCATACAAAAAGCGTTTGCAAAGGCTGGCTCAATGCCTCAGTAGTCTGAGAAACAAAGAGCAATCTTTTACTGTTTACAAGAGATTTTATACATTCCTTTCCCCAATGCTCAACACTATCCCCGCTTCGCCATTGGCTGGTTACTAAGAAGTCACAATCTTCCCCATCCGCCTATATCATACTACCTTAATATGTTCCCCCCTCCCGCTCATACATCCCATGTTCATGCTAATGAGCCTATTACCTATGAGAGGTGTGTCATTTACTATTTATGAACCTATTGCGCATGCGCAATACCTTCTAAGAGGTCAACAGGCCGAAGTGGCCTTGAAAATTCCTACTTGATGCCACGATGTTTCTTAAATCTTGTGGGGAGGATGAGATAATGAGAACAGGCCTTTATTCATTCTAAAAGATACAGATTCTACACTTCTTAAGAAAGAACAATCCTTCACTCATATTTTAAAAGATACAGACTTTACACTTCCCACACCAAGTAAAAAGTATATTTAAAATTTTCACTTATCAATGAAATATTGTGAAAGGCATACACAACAAAAAGTTGTCTAGAAAATAGTTGTAGGTTTAATTGGCAAATGTTGAGTAAAAAATTATTTTCTCAAAGGTATGATTAACAATTGATATTTCAAAGGTATAGGTCAGGGGCCTCAAACTCGCGGCCCGAGGGCCAATTGCCCGGATGGGCGGGGCACGGGGAAGGGGCCCTGCGGCCTTCAAAGCGCCGGCGGCACCCGGACTGGCCGCGGGATGAGCGGCACACCACCACCGTGGTGGTGGAATACTTGATGTGGCCCAGCCTCACCCAGACTCTACTTCCAGCGGCCCCCAGGTAAGTTGAGTTTGAGACCCCTGGTATAGGTCTAAACAAGAGGCATCCAACCTTTTGGCTTCTCTGGGCCACACTGGAAGAAAAAAATTGTCTTGGACCACACATTAAATACACAAACACTGATAAGCAAAAAAAAAAAAAGTATGCATAATTTTCGTGATACCTGTCACCAGAGAGAAGCAAAAAAGTCCTCACATAATCCTAATTATGTGGCGCCCCATTCGGAGAGTCTTTTAAAATAATCAAGCAGATCCAAAGTTTGTGATCACTAATAGAGAAAATGAACATATCTAAGTAATAAAACTTCATTGATCTTTTATTTTTATTATAAAAGTAAAAGAGGGCAACATAAAACTAGTGGGATATTTGACATTGTATTTGAGAAACTAATGGATCAATATCTGGTTCGATGGAAGTAGTTGCAATTCTCAGTGAGTTCTCAAGGTGCTCATCAGATATTCTGGTTCAAATTTTACTCTCAGTGTGTTTCATTCTTGAAAATAGTTGCTCACAAATGTAGGTGCTTCCAAAAAGCGAAGGCATGAATAAAGCATGACTGTGAAGCAAGGGATATTTGTCTCTGGGACGATAGGTCCTATAAAAGTCCATGATCAATTTTTTCTTTAAGTTGAATGTCAGATTGGAGCTCTATACATTCCATTTGAAAATTGGCAGGTAACATATTTATGTCAACTGAAAATGGAGTTGCAAATATACCAAAATAGTGCTTATTTTCCCAGAAATCTTGAAATCTGTTTTCAAGTTCTTGTATCAAAGAAATTCTTGTATCCTCTGTGAAAGGAGACAGAGTACCTGAAGGAGGGCCTTCTCTGCAGTGGTGCCCCGACTTTGGAACACGCTCCCCAGAGAGGTCCGCCTGAGACCGTCATTATATGTTTTTCGGCGCCAGGTTAAGACCTTTCTATTTAATCAATAAGTTAATATGTTTTAATATTGAATTTTACTGTTGTATTTTTATTAACTTCCAGCCAGAGTAGGTTGTCAATTTATTTATGCTGCAAGCCGTCCAGAGAGTAATTGAATGGCATACAAATTTTATAGATAGATAGATAGATAGGTAAATAAATAAATATCAAATCGAAAAGGCAGGCTTCATATTTTTTGCTGTCCACACGACTGTTTTTAGTCAATGTGTCACACTGTATAAAATTATTTGCAACGGTAGGTTGAAAGATTATTGATAATAGCTGCATTGCACTCACCAAGTCACCATGAGCACATGTAACTTTTGATGGTGTAAATTTGACTGTCTGCGCTTGGAAGATAACACACTGGAAGCCACAGACTGCCATAAAATTAAAGGCATGCATGTGTACAAATACTGAGAGCATAGGTACGTTTATTTTATGTGACACTGCGGCATGTGTACAAATACTGAGAGCATAGGTACGTTTATTTTATGTGACACTGCGGCACAACATTGTCGTCTACAAAGTTCACAATGGAGAACTGTGAGATCGAGTTACCAAAAAAATTGCAAAAAAATATCTCATAATGTTTTAAGTAAGTTTACAATTTTATATTGGGCCACATTCATAGCCCTTCTGGGCCACATGTGGCCCCCAGGTTGGACATCCCTGGTCTAAACCTTTCTGTATGTTTTTCTAAAAGAATGTTTAATAATATATAACTAAGACTGTGAGCCCTAATTAATGGGAGAGTAGATAACATTAGCTATAATTTCTGCACAAAATATTGTAAATATGTGTTGATTTTAGGATGTGGGAGCTTCTTCTTGGAAGTTCACCAAGCCTGAGTGCCTATCAGTGCATGGCCAATTCAGCATTAATGGAGAACCTGGTATTTATAATGAAATCTCTCCTTTTTAAGCTATCAGGTTCTAAAAGTCCAAGAACAAGCAAGGTTTAAGAAATACTAGAATCACAGAATAGTAGAATTGGAAGGAGCCATTGGGTCCAACCCCCTGCTGTTGCTTACTATTCCCTCTTAAGTTATAACGATTTAAACATCTTTAGCAAGTTCTATTTAACAACAGGAAATGTTTTATGTCATTTTTTGCAGCTGGAATTTTCATGTGACATTACAAGTATGCATCTAATAAAAATGAAAAATGGAACAAAGATTTTTTTGATCCCAACCCTAACCTCATACTATTGTAAGTACAAAACCAACACTGAAGCCACAAAACCAAACCTGTATCTCAAGTCCAGCACCTGTGTTTACAAGTCACTGGCCAAGAAGCATGCCTTGTGTTGGATGTCCTACATGTCATGCAAATACAGTCACTACCAAAGGCCAGGAGAGTTAGAAGTTAGGGAGGAAAGGGGAGTAAGAATGTAATGCCTGAGAAAGTTCCTCTATTCAAGCCCCCACAAATCAAAATGGTGAGCCTTTCTCTAGGGATGTGTTCAGACATCCCTAAAATTCCCCGAGAACTAGGACTATGAAGGTATTGTGCAGTCATTACATTTTTCTCTTCTTTAAATACATTTTTGCATTAAGAAAAAAGGAGGAGGAGGGTGTGCAGGTGAAACATTGGCAGATCACAAGAAAAAGATGGATCTGCTGCAAATTTCCATGGATGAGGAGGGGCAATGGCATGATCAAAACTTCATCTGGATGATCATAAGTTCAAGCTTCTCTGATCTGGGGTGCTTCTAGTCAGATGGAAGGGCCCAGCTCTAACGCACAAAAGACACTGTGAAGCTATTATATCTTTTTACCTCAATGGATTTTTATGTAACAAGAGAAGACAGAAAGAAGCGGCAGAGAAACACGAGGGAGGTATAAATCAAAGATGCCATTGTCTGAACCATCTAGTAAAATCCTGTGAATGAGGCTGCATGATTGCACAGTAAAAGCTTTACCTAAAATCCCCCCCCCCCGGAGCCCTCCATATATTTTGGACTACAACTGGGGGATGATGAATTGTAACCCAACATATTTGGAAAGCACTAACTTGGGGAAAGCTAGTGTAGTTACTAATAACAAAATGTTTCTCAGTTTAGTCAAGATAGATTTACCACACCCCAGCACTGAGTAGCCTGTACATAAACATCAGAGCAAAAGGATTACAGAAACAGTCTTTATTTCTCTCCTCACCCCACCAAATCCTACATCATGAAAAATTCATACATATGTGCTCCAAATTATAGAATAGATGGGGCACTGGCTAATTTGCTAACATTTTCTTCATTTAAGTATGTCAAGCCCTTTGTGCAGCTTTGGTACATGGCTGGGAGTTTTCTCACAAAACCAGGAAAGCGAGATGAGTCAGTAGAGCCTGAAATGTAAATTGTTTTTTGAACTTCAGGCAAAGGCATTTTTACTTGGTTGTGGAGGGCAAAGAAAAGTATCTCTTGACCCAAGAAGTCTCTCTCTGGTGTGTGGAAGTTGTTGTGATACATTCCAAAGGAATAAAAAGGGAAGCCAAGATGGGGAGTGAAGGCTGGAATGTGCAACCTTTCCAAAGGTTATACAAAGCTATGAGATACAGGAATGCAGTGGAGTAGAGAAGAAACGGTGAGGAGTGACATGCTGCAAAAACAGATGCCTCTCAACTAAACAAGCAGAAAATATCACTGCTGTATGATAAACACAACCAAGGCTCACCCACAGGGATACTGCTTTTCATGCTGCTCTGAGAATGAAAAGTCAGTACTTCCCCGCCTTTTCCTTTTTCTTGCTTTAGCTAAAGATTCTAGATGATATTTTAATAAGGAACAACCACGTCATCACCAGTATTTAAAAAAATAATGCCCTGGCAGACACCGAATGAGAACTTTGCCATAGTTTTCATTCTGGCTTGGGTCATCTTTCCACTGTCTTAGCTTCTCCCTCTTTCCTCGCTGCCATCTGTGTACTTAATGTTTGTTTATATCCAGATGGGTTTTTAAAGGGCAGGAGGAGGTGCATGAGCTGCTAAAGGGTCAGCCAGCGTTTAGGATTTCCAAGACCACTTATACGTGTCTCCATTCGACTAAATAAACAGGCATGTAAAACAGGCATATGTTCATCTTATGTGAAATGCATAGGAGATTCTTAGTAAGGCAGAGGGCAAAGCAGATGACTTCCATAGGGACTGGTGATTTGGGTACCTAAATGCAAATAGTCACTTCACTGATAGCACATTCATCTGCCTACAATCTGGCAGGCCCATTTTCAAGCTTAGCTATTTTTTAATTTCTTTACATTATTCAGCTTTCCATGTTCAGCCCTGCAAAACATTTTACAACATAAAAG